AGGTATATCAAATTTTTACAGATTCATTGGCTCTTTTATAATAGTATAGATAGATAAAGATTGTTTGATTATGATATTGAATGAGTGTATAACACTTTACGATAGTTTTAATTTAAATATTATTTTAATATAAATTAGAAAAACTCTCAACAACTAATTATTTTACATTTGTCAAAATTAACCAAATCAAACCAAAAAAATCCCAACAAAACTCAAAAAATTTATATCCAAGTATCCCAAATAACATGATTATCAAAACGGGCTTAAATTATTCCTCCAGTTTCCTTTTCTTTTGTCGCAATCTAACCCTAATTTAACATGTAAAGTACGCTGTTATAATAGATTATTGCATTAGTGAGAAAAAATTGAAGTTTAACTGGCTAATTTCATCCTAATTATTCACACTGAGATTTTATTCGTCGGATCACACATATTCGTATATACATCTATGCCGGTGTATGTTGATCCAATGATCATATATGCAATGTACACACGTATAGGATGATATTTACATGCGCAATATATCACAAAATGTTCGACACATACATTTAATTTCCATATAATTGTAATCAAATGAAGAAACTCTATTAGCTCATACATGAGATATAATCTCTTAAAATTGTTGATCAAGTTCAAGAGTTAGATTTAATTTAATTTCATGGCATGACTTTGTTCTGTGTGCTTGCTTACAAGCAAATTGCATCATTATTAGCTATGTCATGGTATTACGTACACATACATAGGCGTATTTTTTTTTTGGTACAAAGAAGGAGGCTAAAGGCCTAGACTAAAACTCGACGGGGATAAGCGACCCCGATAACATCATGCCCGAGCCACTCGCCCAAACTGTGCGGAGGAGACGAGAGCTCATGGAAACCAATCGGAAAGGAAGACGCTAAGTCTGCTAGGTGGTCAGCCGCAAAGTTTGCTTCTCTGTGCACATGTCGAAGTCGTGTAGTCCACTCCCTACGAAGCAACTGGCGAATGGCCTGGACCAAGGAATCGTTCGCCCCAAAAGAATTAGCCGGACCCATGATCATTTGAAAGACGCACTTGCTATCAACCTCCACAATAACGTAACGAGACCCCATATCCCATGCAAGCTGTAAGCCTTGGAGTAGACCCCACAATTCGACCCCGGTGATGGTACAGTAGCCTATATTCATCATAAATCCCTTCACCCATCGGCCCATCTCGTCGCGAATAAGCCCACCAGCACTGCTAAGCCCCAAAGATGCATCATACGCGCCATCAGTGTTAACTTTAATCCAACCCGGATCCGGCGGGGACCAACCAAGTCAATTGTTAATCCATCTAATTTAAGTTTCTTTATTATTTGATTTTTTATAGGGGTAGAATCAAATCTTCATGCTGACTAATAAATATTTCATTCTTTTGTCTCAATATCATTAATTTAATCGCAGAATTATCATCAGTTGTCCCATAAAAAAACGCGAATTTATGATTTCCATTTTTATTTGTTAACTGGATTATATATGCCTGTGACAAGATTTCAATGGGTAGTTACACGCATTTATCCATTGTATTGTATGAGGCCAATTTAATTTAATTTAATTTAATTTAATTTCCACATTCATTTGTAGTTATGTACCCACTCTTCATTATTTAATTCACCAAGTCATCAAAATTATCAAGCTAAGGTTCATTGCATGAATACTAATTAAAAAAATTTAATATATTAAAATTAAAAAAAAAAGAAATAGCATTTTTACTTTTTTAAATACTTTTGAAAATACATTATAATTTTTATTTAAAGTGACATATGTCACCCGTAAGACTCGATGGTTTTATACGCTATAATAATTATTCTTACTTATATTATATAATATATAGACTATTATATATAAACTTATTTCATTTGATAAATAATTTTTTTAATATTTTTCAGTTATGACTGACAAATAACTTAACTTTTATTTATAAAACATTTTATGCATGTAATATGAATATTAAGTTAGACATTACTGATTAATTTGATATATCATATATCAAAGAATAATAACAAACAAAAAATGTTGAGTTTTAAAATAATTCATAAGCTAAGCTGGTCATGTGTTTATATTTTTAAAAGTCCAACACAAATAAAAATCGAATATTCATGTATCACTCTAAATCACCAGAATTTGACATACAAAATTACTACAACATAAAATTAAGAAATATAATATTGTGACACTGGGTGACATTTTCACTCTATTGTAGGTAGGACGTTGATATTTACATTTTGATTTAGTCTTCTATTACTTTTCACATTAATTAACTATGATATAAGATGTACGAACAGCATACTTTGTGAAGCTACCAATTAATTAATTAACAAAGACTTTTGCATCATTAATTAATTATCCTTTGAGCAAAAGATTTAACTAGGTAAAGGCTAATTAGAATTTCATAAAATTCAATCGGACATGAAAAACAACTTTTCAAAATTCGTTGCCAGTGGTTTGACGGACAAATTCGAGTGATAAATCAGTTATGCCTATTGATATGAGAAAATTTTACAGTCCCGTTACGAAACTATTCCGTCGGAGTTTGTAACTGTTGGATCATCATGTAATCATCGGGGATAGTTGATCTAACAGTTACAAACCACGATGGAATGATTCCATAACGAGTGCGTAGCGTCTCCCATTTCTATGATTATAAAGCATATGGTATTATGTTAACATATGAAGCTAAAATCAAATATAAATTAATAAACATAAAAAACTAATGAATGACATGATTATTAGAGAAAATAATATTGGAGTTCTTGGAATATTTCCTAAAATAAGAAAATAAGATAACTTACAATTTAACTTTTCTATTTTTCGTGAAATGGTGAAACTACATGTTCAATGGTTAACGATTGAATCAGTGGTGGAATTGATTGGATCAGTATGTAATTAAATAAAATTTTGAAAATTATATAGTATTTTAAATTATAGATTATATATATACTACATCTTCACTAATTAAATAGTTTAAGATATTC